AAGGAAGGGGAGAAAAACATTATAAAAGGACTGTCGAAATCGGGCAAGAGGGTCTTTGCTCTTCTCTTCTTCTTAGTTAATCTCACGGTTTCGACTCTCGCGTTAGACGGTGCCTCGTCTACTTTTTCTTCACGCGTAACGGCGAGCTGAGCCACAGCGGGTCACTCAGCTGTTTAGTATCGGGTTTCGAGACGTGACCTCTTCCATGTGCGACGCGACTTTGCGATTACGCGCGGCCTAACAGGCGAGTTCGATAAGACACCGGACCGTGAGTGCGACGTCCGAGACGGTGACAACGTATCCCGCAGTGCCCGACCCCTGCATCACGGCTCCGAGCGCCAGCAAGTATTCCGCCCCTTCCTGGACCCGAAACCCCGACTGAACCAGCCGCAAGCGTTAATCATTCACCATTGTTAGAAAAGAACGTTATACGTGAAAGGCTGCGATTTTACCGTCTCTTTATTGTTAGAAAAATAATACACTCATATGTATATGTATAACGATAATCCTGCCTAAGAATTAAGAGCTGGTTTATGACCGTCACAGCCGACGACCAACGACAAAGTGTGCCTGTCTATTCGTTTTTCGATCGTCACCCGACGGTGACTTTCAGAGTGACCTAGGTCAGATTATCGTTGTCGGTCCCAGTCATAACAACACTCGTCGGTCTGCTTTGACTACCAGTGCATGCTACGTGCGTGACCTTCTTCGCACAGAAATACCAATTCCACCTTCTTATTCCGTCATTCTCTTACACCATTGGTATGTTAAGATTTAATTGTATATTTTATTTTATTCATTGTTAGAATATATCTTGTTGTTGTTATAAACGAGAGTGATTTCCTATCCCTCCCGTTCCATATCCTAATTACGTACATCACCGGTAAGTTTAGACAGGGCGTGCTTTACCACCTTAAAAGAGCCAGGACCCGAAAATATAAATAAAGTAACGACCGCAACGCGGGACGTGACACTTGCAAGAGCGCGCCCTTGCCCAAGCACATGTGTGTCCGTGGCGTATGCGTGAGTCAGTCAAACCCGGGGGCTTCATGACATTGTATGTCTTGTGCGATTATTAATGTAACAATATATCTATACGGGTGTGACAAGATATCTGTGTAATGTAATTACGCATCCCGACCTATAAGCATAACACATACAAGGTGAGGCACTTAAAACCGGCCACCTGAATAACTTGGCTGCTATTGGTGATAGGAAAAAATGCATCTGGCCAAAATTATTTGGTATCAAGGGGCTGATCATCCGATGTTACTAGTTTTTTGATAGGTGGTGGCGTCAAGGAGATATGAAGGTCATCTCTGTTTTTTAAATGCAACGGTATGTTTTTTTAATTACATTCTGATAGAGTATTTCAAGACGAATACAATGACCTATTCGAAAGGTGGACTGGGTTAAGCCAATTGTGATGGAAAATAATTTACTTTGAGGAAATGGTCGAACACTTCCTTGCCGTCTCTGGTTGTTGATATTATTACTTCATCTCTGTCTCATAATCTCTTGTTACAGGTCGTTGAATGGAAATAAAAATTCAATCACGCTGTACGCTTCATCTGTACATACTATGATTAATCGTTTATGAGAATCTCTGCCGAGCGAAATGTATCTCAAGTTTCCGGAATGCGTCATTCAGTAGCGGAGAAAGTAGAAATGGTTTTTATTTATGGGGAATGTCGCCAAATTGTAAGAGATGCAGTCCGTTTGTATGCTGAACGGTTTCCTGAACGTGTCACACCTTCACGATCTGCATTTACGAAGGTTATTAAAAGTTTTCAAGAAACTGGACGTGTAAATAATAAAATACGAAGAAGATCCAAGGCAGCAACTGATGATCGAAATACGGTGAACATTTTAGCAGCTGTAACACAAAATCCCCATGCTAGTAGAAGGTAGCTAGCACGTGAAAGTGGCATCAGTCAACGAAGTCTTGCGAATATTAGATTTAAATGAATTCCACGCTTTTCATGTTTCACTCCACCAAGAATTACATGGAAATGATTTTCAAAACCGTGTAAATTTTTGTGAATGGGGTCTGCAGAAATTACAGAGTGATGAGCTGTTTTTGACTAAAGTTTTGTTTACGGACGAAGCCACATTTACGAACTGTGGCCAAGTCAATTGTCATAATATGCATTATTCGTCAATAGAAAATCCACGGTGGCTGCAAGAAGTGGATAAACAAAGACCTTGGTCTATATACGTTTGGTGCGGACTTCTTAACGGTGAAATAATTGGTCCTTATTTTATCGATGGTACATTAAATATTCCGCTTCACATGCGGCAAACTATGTGGTTCCAACAAGGTGGATTCCCTGCTCATTCTGCACGGATAATTACTCAATTCCTCAACGTGACATTCGGAGATCGTTGGATTGGTCGTGCAGGAAATCATAAATGGTCCGCACGTTCTCCAGATTTAACACCTCTGGACTTCTATTTGTGGGGAAAATTAAAGCAGCAAGTGTCTAATGAAATACCAACAACCAAAGAAGATATGAAAGAGCGTATAAGATGAGCTTGTGCTGTGAAAAACACAACTGAAATTCAACATGACGTATTATCCGTCAAGCAACGCTTCAGAGCATGCATCAACGTTCAAGGTCACCATTTTGAACACTTGTATTAGTCGTGTATTACTGTTAGATAAATAAATCAACAGTGCTTGATCATTTCCTCATAGTACATTATTTTCCATCACAATTGGCTTAATTCAGACCACATAAACAATTATAAAAGAGAATGTAATTAAACAACATACCGTTCCATTTAAAAAAAATAGAGATGACCTTTATATCTTCTTAACGCCTCCACCTATCAAAAAACTAGTAACATTGGATGATCAGCCCCTTGATACCAAATAATTTTGGCCTGGTACATTTTTTCCTATCACCAATAGCAGCCAAGTTATTCAGGTGGCCGGTTTTAAGTGCCTCACCCTGTATATATTAAATAAATTGAAAAATTTTAAAATAAATATAAACACTTCTTTACTATTTCAATTACATTTTGTTTTTTTCTTTTTGTAAACATTCGAAAACCGGTTTAGTCGGTTTTTCTGAAATATTGAAATTCGAAAACCAACTTGTTCAAAAGTCAGTTGTATAAACTCTACAACTCACATCGTTGTTCCCAGACACCTCTAGTGTTTTTCGTAATAGCAGGTAAACTATTCCTTGCCTTTACATCATTATTGGTTTCTTCTTTTTTTTGTTGTCTCTTGCATTATTGTGATGTTTTAAGGACGATATTATGATTATCATTGTAGTTGTCATTATTATGATTATTGTTAATATTAAAATGAAAACGCACCAGTGCCAATTTATAAGACAAAAATTATAAGATATACATATATTAACTAAATTTCGACACGAAAATAACAGTTGTCGGTTGCATATTTTGATGACTGATTATTATTAATACTCTGATCAATACAATATTATCACTTGCATGCCTTATCAAATTCCAAATGTACAATCAGTTTTATACATTCACATAAATGATTGCGTTGGCATGAAACGGGAACTGAAATAATATTTACTGCTATGTATCTATTATTTTCATTTTGACTCAACAGATTTTTTTTATAAACATGAAAAATAAGTTTCTGTCTAATTTTCGGTTTTATATTTTGTATACACCTTTATATTTTATTATTTGTATTATTGTTTACGTCTGGCGCGGTGAGTTATACTACTTACAACAATCGATTTCCAGCTGATACACGAGACAAATCAATGGCCTATTTAAATGTCTGAATGAAATGGAATGAAATGCATGAAACCTACTCATGGAACAGTTCAAGAGCGCGCCTGTGAAGTAGAATAACCCCCTGTGCCAGACGTATGTTGCGCGTACTTCACCCGTATTTTTAACAATTAATAACTCAGAGACAGCTTTAAACGCAATTCCGTCATTCTTGATTTTCGTCTTATAAGTAGTTTTACGTGTGAAATCCATGCTGTGAAAGTGTCCCACATTTTTATTTTCACCCCGTATATCACCAAAAGTACAGAACGATGATAGAAGGTATTCTGCATAAATTGTTACGTCTCATGTGTCTTGTGAGACATACTTTGTAGTAGGACGATCTATGTGCAGAATCTGCCATAACTATGAGCCACTTCTGAGCCATCTATGACTCAGCTCAAACAGCGTCGTACTAACACAGACATAATTATTTATGAAACATAATATAGTTAACATATAGGTACATGTATAATGTTTATTATATTTTTACACATACATACATATAAACAATGTTTATTAAATATTATTTTTTACAAAGAAATCGGTAATCTTTTTCTGCTTTTTTGATTAAATTTCCTGTATTAATGCGATATCTATATATTTCATGTCAACAAAAATATGGCCACTTAAAGCGGAGACCGGTTAAACCGGGGCCGAATAAACGGGAGCATACTGTAACTATATTTTATGCATAAAATTAACTCCACTACAACTGTTAAAGTAAATATCATTCGTAAATGAAACATAACAAATGTTTACGACGTTTTCATAAAACAGACCCTTGATCACTCTACAATTCCTGTTAAAAGAAGTAGTCTCTACTCTCTACATGTATTTATCGTTACAAAAATATCAAGGTAGTAATTAGTTAGTCTTCGTTTTGTATCAGGTTTTCCCATTTATATTACAAACCTGACGAACTTTTAATAGTTATACCAACAATGAAAGTTGATTGCAATAAATATTTTGTTTTTGGAAATATCGGGGATCAACATTAAAATGTGACATGTTTTTTGTTTATTGTTATGTTTATTTTTATAAATTCGCAGTATGATTTTTGATTTTTGAAACACACTTGAAATCCGACTTTTATATCAGTTGACATTAACGCCAGTGCAAGATAAGATGTATTTCTTCTGGTTCTTATTGACTTTTGAATTTATCAATTCATTGCAAATAACCGGTGAGCGTTACAGTGAGTACATTCAAAACGTGAATTGTTAAGGTGTACGTCAGCAGACCTGTTTCAAGGGAAGTACTCATAATGTAAGTGTCAATTTTCCCTTTTTTCCCTAATTTTTACGAGCAACCGCGATACGAAATTAAGTTTAAAATGTGAATGAAATTTGTGTCACATGAAGGACCGTTTTTGCGAACATTAAATTCGAATTCCCATCGAGTACGCGTGCTACTGAATAGGATTTGGCTTCGTGTCTTCTAATAACAATCCACTTACCGTTTCTACTAATTTTAGTCGGATACAGGGTAATTCTGAAAAGTATGCCACCTAAATTGCTTGTGAACTGTTTGTTACACGAACAAATTTTGTAAACAAAAGTTATATGACACCGAAAGGATTATAAGGTGTAATAATTAGTTTGTTGCTATTTCCTTTTTTTACCGGAATGTGTAGGTCACCTTGTGTTTTTTCATTACAATGGGTAAAATTTGACTTTGCAGTTAGAAAGAATGTTGGAATCTGAGTAAGAAACTGATAGTATTTATGGGTGCAAAAATAAAGAATTACCGAAATATTATTCTTTAAACGATACTTATTGCATGTAATCACACTGAAGATATCTAACGATTGTCGCAGAAATTAAGATCCGTCTCCAATGATACAATCTAAACAATCACGCAAAGTCACTGTCGTTGTTCGTGAACACCGACGTACAATGTAAGTATTATACGGATTTTACACTTACGAAAGTTTATCATCATTCACTGAAGAATATTTCAGTAATTATTAGTTTTTAGACCTGTACACTCTAATAGACTTTTATTCAGCATTCAATACCATTTCTAATAGCAGGGTCAAATTTTATCTTCGTATCTCGTTCAAAGAACGAAATAGCTTAAAAACTAATTGTTACTTCATATAATCCTTTCGAAACAATACAACTTTTGTTTGAAACATTTTTACGTATAACGAAGAGTTCACGAGCAAGTTAGATGGCACACTTAGCAGAATCACCCTGTACAAACGCTGGATTTGTATGTGCATTTATTTTTTCATAATGATTTACACCTTCCTGTTGTACACTGATCAATCAAGCAATTGGCAGAATTATATTTTACAATATTATTAATCTTTGGGGCAATGGAAACAAAATACTTCATCTGTTAAATACATCATTAATATCTTTCAATACAATTGTTAAAAATTCACAACATTTTACTCTAAATCATTAGAGTAATGGTTGTAATAACTTTCGAGTCTTCATTTTTTTAGTTGTTAATAAATACTAATATAAATTTAGGAAATGAAATATTTGTAACTTCTGCACAGTTATCAACATATATTGGTTAATAGTGATAAGGCGTTAAAGTCATTACACAATAAAAGTTTCGATGTGCATCTAAGATAAAATTGTTCATAATAAAGTAGTAATAAATATTATGAAACAAGGTAACTCAGTGTACGAGATTAAATTTACAAGATATACCCACTAAGTACGCAGGACTTAGAATGACGTAGAAATGTTATAATTCGTTTAATAAACATCGAAGTTTCACTAATCTATCTGATATTCAAAGAAATATTCTAATTCACTCGATAAACGTAGAAGGCACATATTTCTTCATCGAGAAGCCTACATTGACAGGTAACAAGAACTATGCAGAGTGTAACAAAAGTGTTGTAGGTCCTAGAAGTGGGTCACTCTTGAGGTGATTTGGAAGAAGTTTTTCCTTAGCAAAAATGTTATCTAAAACTTTGTTAACGAGATATTAACGGAGAACCGCGACCAATTAGAACTTGGCTGACAGGCTCGCGCAGTTTGTCTAATCGAAATTTTTACGATAGCTGCATCCAGGTAAAAATTTTGCTGCTCACATTATTAAACAGACTGTACTAAAACGAAAATTATAGGAACTAAAATCTATTTTACTGTTATTTTAAGGTGGTACATACCTGACGCTCTAGTCAATAAAGCATTATATTAATAATTGGTATTAAACACCTATTAATACATTTTTAATAGCGTATCAAAAATATACCTATAAAATTCAACATTTCCAATGATCATTCATCATGATATTATAAATAAAAAATATATTTTGGTTAGTCGCGTGACTGTATTGTGCTCGTTTCTGGTACGATTGACAACGTCGCTTTTGCAAGCATATATAGTATGTCTGTATCGTCTGTATAACGTCGGTTTAGCAGTTTCCTTTACATTTTTCTTACATGTAATAATTAATTATATTCCCATGCATTATAATTTGGAAAATTAGAATTCACTGAAATACAAAATTAGTAAATTATTTGAATTTTTAAAATTTATTTGAATTTTGCGGGTATGACCCTACTTCAGCAACGTTGCCAAGTCTATAACATAGTCCCAATAACCATCGAATAACCGACACATCCTTGAATTTATTGTCAAACATCTTCCTGGAATGTTCGGCATGGTACAAGATTTAGTTCATTATCAGAAAGCTCAGGATTTACACTTTCAGTACCTACTCAGTCAGCCAAATCTGCAAAGCCAACTTTTATCCAATGCCTGTTATAAAGTTATGACTATAAGTTTGATGCAAGATTTGCTACAAACAACTTCCGCGCACGTTGGCAGCAACATAGGCAGCAAATTGGCAAAAACATATGTAGTCAATTGGCTTGCGCATACCTTGTTCCGGTTTTGCACTCAATTTGACATAAATCATGTTGCAAGACTTTCTGCCAATTTGTTTTCCCATTTTGTTAGCTGGCGTTGCCTGCAAAACCCAAGTCGAATGCGGAAACAGATGGCTATGGTTTTTTAGACAAGTTTTGACATTTATTGCTAGCAATTTTCTCGAAACTTGTACACAACTGGTTATCAGGGTAGTTTTAGTTTAATGTTCCAGTCCTTGTGAGAAGAAAAGATAATACTTCCAGTAAGAAATTGTAAGACTGCCATAACAGCTGTATTAAAAACTCAATTTTTGACAAGCTTTTTCGTATTTAGTTAATTGGCGACCTAGTTTCAAACTTTTCGAGTGTTTGTATTTCGTGCTAATAAACAATCTGTATGAATTTTATTTAATTATCTAGTCTTTCAAATTTAGAACGAACCATCTTAATTCTCAAAAACTCAAACGAAATTTAATATGTTAATCATGTTAAACACGTTCATGAAACAATAACAAATGTTAAAAACAAATTGATATTACTCATTTCTAATTGTTTTCTTTTTCAGATAGCTGATCCAAAATGGCAGATGGTCTCCTTATATTTTGCGGCGTGTCGGTAATACTACTTTTACTCTACTACTATCTTACGTCAATCCACAACTTTTGGAAAGATCGCGGTATACCTGGACCGCGGCCCACGCCCATCTTTGGCAACCTTCGAGCAGTAACATTCAGAGAAATATCCATGGCCGATCTTGTACGACAAATGTACAATGAGTACAAACACGTGCCAGTGTTCGGAATTTTCGCAGGGAATTCACCAATTTTGATTATTAACGATATGGATATGATTAAAGACGTTCTGATCAGGGACTTCTCACTTTTCTCTGATCGAGGAGTGCCAATATTTCCCGAGGTATTCATAAGTAAACAATAACGATTAAAATTCACTACTAAATTTAAAAGGAAAGAAATTGCATACACACCGCGAGCTCCTACTTTCAATTCAGTTTCATGTATGTTAAGTCGGCGAAAATTGAAATGGGAATGGTAACTGACTAACCACAGCCTACCACAAATATAGTGATTCACAAATATGTTATGGAAAGCTGTCAAATTTGTTTGACCAAATTACGTACCGACCTGTGAAAGTCATTCCAAAATTGGAAAAACTTTATCTCAAAGAAGTAAAGAGAATGAGGGCACATACAATAAAAACCGCATAATAATTTTTTAAATTAATTGTTATTTTAAAATCTCTGGTTGAATATGTGTGTAACAGTAACGTATTACTACCTAACTTGGGCACGGTATTAAGTCCAGAGTTGGGTACAATTTTATTGGAATAATACATAGTGAGAAGTAGCAGTATCTAACAAGGGAGGCTAGGTTGTCAGCACCAAATTTTTGTATAACATTGCAGATGAGTAGAGGGACTCGAGTTACTAACTGTGCTGCATCACGTTTCGGTGGCAATTTATATTTAGGATAGCTAAACACCCCTTGTATACGTGCCAGTGTAAACAGCATTTAAAACTTTTCCTTGCTTTTGAAAATGTTCTGCCCTTTTACTTATGCTTAAATAGTATTAATAAATTCAATAGCACAATTTAGTACGAAAATTATCCTATCTATCCTCTAGAAATCGTAAAAAAAACTGTCCCCAAATATCATGTACTCCGAGCGAAATAGATTTTTGTAATTTTAAAAATTGCTTGTAAAATTGACTCACAAAAAGTGTCATTAGCTATTAGGAAATTTAAAAAAATATATATTGTAAGCAGTATGTGTACCAGCGACCGGGTAAGGAACAGTTTAAGAAGTTTTTACAATCTCATAGAGAAATATACAAGTTTACGGGTGGAAAATTAATATATCTCATATTACCTTTTTGTTTTTATTTAAAGACAAAAGAACTCTCAATGAGAGCTTTACATAGGTTTTAATATAGATTGTTAGATTACATATGTATGTACGATATTTAGAGATACATGTCGATTTCGATGGAGTAAACTCTTGCATGTTTATATTTGTAGATTAAATTTTCTTAAAAAATTATGTATACATGTGAAAACGCTGCAATATTTGGCTGACTGAGTAGTGACCTTGTATTTTGTGGTAGAAACAGTTGGCATTTTTTTAGTATTTTAAGTAGTTTCAATCTTTGAGTGTCGTACAAGGGGCATTGCCAAACTATGTGGTTCAAATCTTGTTTTTCGTAGTTGCAGTTGCACCTAGCTTTATTTATAATGCCTACGCGTGACAGTGAAGCAGCGATATTACAATGATCGGATCTACAACGATTAATGGTTACAATAATTTCACGTGTAAGGCCTGTATTTGGGAACCAAAGCTGCTGTTGTTTTTTTGTAATGAAATTGGAAATACTCTTTGCCTTTTGTTCGATTTTTTTCTACAATGAATTTTTTGGTGTCTGAATCGCATTTATGTTTGAATGATTCCCGAGAGTCGGTAAAGGGAATAGAGTCAACGTTTTTGTTACCCTGTATGCCTATATGTGATGGTATCCAGAACAGTTCTATATTGCTGCCGTTTGTAAATTTTTGCTTGAGATAATTATAATCTCATATTACTTGAATAGATATACAACATACAGAGTGCTTCACGATAAGTGCCGTTTAGTATAACTATTGAATGGTGGGTGATAGGAAAAAAGTATACAAGGTGTAATAGAAATATTGGAGTTTTCGGAAATAGGAATCTCGTGAGGTGATTTGAAACAAGTTTTTCCTTGGCAAAAATGTTATCTGAGGCTTTGTTAACGAGATATTAACGAAAAACTCCGACCAATCGGAGCGCGACTTTGCCGGCCGAGTTCCCGCGGTAACGTTAGCTACCAATCGCAGCGCGAAGCTGCGATTTTTCCTAAGGAAAGAGTCATAGAAAACTATTGGCCCGCTTATGTTTTCAATACGGAAACAAGATATTTTGACAAAACACGTAAAGCCGTCAGTGTTACTTATTGCTGGCGATCGTCTGTTTTGCTGTTGTCAGCATTTCCTACAGTATTGCATTGATCATTTATAGCGTATTTAATAGTAAAATAACTGATAGGTTATAATATCTTGTAACTCAAGTACAATATCTCGTATTCAGTACCAAAATGAAATTATTAAAGCTGTCGGAAAGGTCTGTCATTTTTTTTCCCTTTACTTAACTTAGGTATGTTTTATGTTCACTTTCGTCTTCAACTTGCGAACTACCTAATCGCTGATATTTTGTACGAACATGCTTCATCTTTCTGGTAACTTATCAATTCTTTTTTTTTTTATAAAAATCTTCCCCTTAATAAATTCATGACACGCCAAATCCAGAAAACTTTCCGACAGACCTAAGAAAAAGGAGTTATCCTGTTTACCGTAGGATTGAAGAATCTCCTCAATAAGCGTTTTCCGAAAAGAAAAGCAGTCAGGTGATATTTTTTAAGTATCTCACTTTGTAAGATTAATTAATGATACGCGAAATTTTCAGGTGGAACCACTGTGCGAACATTTAGGCCATTTAGAGCCGGAAAGGTGGCGGCCATTGAGGACAAGACTCTCGCCAGTATTCACATCTGGCAGAATCAAAGAGATGCTTCCCCTCGTGGTAGAATGCGGGCAGCACTTGAAAGAGTATTTGGATAAAGTGGTGTCGAACGGTAAACCTGTCGATTGTCGTGAAATAGCTGCGAAATTCACTACCGACGTAATCGGTAGCTGCGCCTTTGGAATTGACATGAATGCACTCTCCGACGAGAACAGCGAGTTTCTTGCCATGGGCAAAAAGGTGTTCACACTTTCTCCTAAAAAACTTATGAGAGAAATCGGCAGACAATTTTTTCCTCGTTTGTACAAAGTAGTGGGTCACGTATTTCAGACAACTTACCTTACAAACTTCTTTATAAATGTCGTTGTGGACACGATAAATTACAGAGAAAAAAGCAATATAATTAGGCCTGATTTCATTAATATGCTTATGGAACTCAAGAAGAATCCGCATAACTTGGAGAATATCGGTAGGTAGTGTCATAATTACAAATTTTGTATTTGATTTTTGTGTCAGCTGAAAAAGGTAATGTGAAACTGTAAATGCATTTTCCCGCCATGTTTTTTTATCGACTTCGTTGATATTGTCATTCAGAGTACTTGATTACGGGAGCCTGAAAGAAGAGAAAATATAAAAAATAAAAACCAAGTACTCTTTCACCATTAGGCGTAATGAATAAACACCATTAGCACGTAAGCTAGAAACTTGAATTATACCACACGTATAACCGATTCTCAGCTGATACACGGGGGTCCATTTATCACCTAGTGAAACTAATGAATGGAATTAAATGGAACGAAGGAACCAATTTGTGAAGCAATTGCAAAAGGCCGAGCTCAATGAGAATACCCCGTCTCGTCAGACATACTTTACCCGTATTTCACGCGTAATTTCGACAATTAATAATTCGGCAACAAAGCTTCAAACGCAATTTCGCCATTCTTGATTTTAATTTTAGTTAACGATACAGAATCCGCTCTATGAAAGTGGCCCATATTTATACTAACACCCTGTAGATCGCACTTCGTCTAGTCGCAAGATTCGCAAGCGCAAGCGTCTGACATTGAAAGGAAATTCTACTTCTAAATCTAATTGCTTTCAGATGAGAGGCACGTTCTGTTGAAACAATAATTAACGTGATTTCGTTACTTTTCAGAACTGACAGATTCGTTACTCGCTTCGCAGGTGTACGTCTTCTTTATAGCTGGTTACGAAACTTCCTCGTCCACGATGAGTCATTCACTTTACGAACTAGCAATAAACACTGATATGCAGGATAAGTTACGGAAAGAAATCAGGGAAAACTACGCACAACATGGTGAAACTTTGACATTCGCTCAGGTGAACGAGATGAAGTACTTGGATTTAGTGTTTAGAGGTAATTTCTAATCAGACACTGTAACTGTAAGTCACAAACTTGTCCATGATGGCAGTCACGTTTATCTGAAATTTATTTCAAAAACTAGAAACCTTGCCACGAAATATTGGTACAATACAAATAAGGGACATGAGGATACCTGAATAGGATTACGTAAAAATGTATACACTTTATTGTTACTTCGACATTATATGACCGAATGTGTTAATCACTGGACGAAGTTTACAATTAGACCACAATGCAGGTATCATCACGTATAATATACAGGGTGTAACGAAAGTGTTGTAGGTCCCTGAAATGTGTCACTCGTCTCAAGTTATTTGGAACAACTTTTTCCTTAGCAAAAATATTAACCGAGGCTTTGTTAACGAAAAACCCGGATCAATCAGAGCTTGGCCGGCAGACTCACGCTCTGATTGGTCAGGGTTTGTCGTTAATATCTCGTCAACAAAGCCTCGGATAACAATTTTTCTAAGGAAAAATATATTCTAAATCACCTCACGATTGACCCATTTCCGGGACCTGCAACACTTTTGTTAAATCCTGTACATTTTTGTACGGAAATATATCGAAACCTTTTTTATATGAAGCTTAATTCTGCGGAAAGTTGAAAAGCTCACCAACATGAGTAGTTAAATATAACAATAGAAAAAAAGGTATTGCTATTTTCGACCTAGTAAGGAATATCAAGCAATTAACAGTCTCCGATTTTGTTCAAATTTGGCAAAATGTATCTATATACTGGATGATGTTCATGATAAGGTCGCGAAAACCGCCATCATGGTTAGATCAGAGAACCTACTTTATTATGTATCTAGAGAACTAGTTTAGGTAGAAAAGAACGTTAAACAGAAAAAGTGTTTCCCTTTCCTTCATGCAAGAAAATTTTGTAGCCACATTAGCTTAATAAAACGTATTCATTCGTACAGAGACTCTGAGGAAGTACCCAATCGTGCCTATGTTGATGAGAAAAGTGTCCACAAATTACACTTTTAAGGGAACAAATGTTACTATCCCAAAAGGTACGAATGTATGGATACCAGTGTACGGAATTCATCGCGACCCTGATATTTATTCGAAACCTGAAGTGTTTGATCCTGAAAGGTTCGCCGAAGGCGCCGTTCCGGCCAAGCATCCGATGAGTTATTTAGCTTTCGGCGATGGACCACGAAATTGCATCGGTATGTCCATATACAGTAACTAACTAACGAACAAAATCAATTGTGTACTAAGATTTGTAGATTCTGCAATTGTGTTAGATCAAGATTTCAAGAATTACGCGTACAGCAGGTATTACAACCTAAGTGGAGAATAATATAAAAGATATGGTACAGAGCTCTCTCGATTATTGTCCCGAACTCGGGTCTGCGCAGGGACTATAATCGTGGACCACGCGAAACGCTTCTGACTCTTGTGAATACATTTTTTGCCCGAAGCTCGAGCCTTTCCTAAAAGGCCAAGCCAGTAGAAAACAGAGAGGATGCTTCTTTTCCCACTCGACTCGGCTGCGTGGCCCGCCTGCGACGTTCTCACCGACCAATGGTTACATTATAGCCGACCACACAGTCCGATTGTGTGTGTACCGGTTTGGCCAATCATAAAAATACGTGTGAATGGAGGTGATCCAGCTACATTTTATTCGTCGACAGCTCTCTGGGCAGTCGCTGACGATTTAACGCTTCGTCTAATCGTCGTACATTCCCCCGCTCCGACCGTCGAGTCTATCGAGCGCATACATTGTTGCCCGGCGCGCGAGGCAACGCTAATGCAACGATGAAACTTTTTTATTTTTGATTCGTTGTTAATGAAACTTTTACTAGTATATTGGTGAGATTTTTCTGATTAAAGTAATACCAAACATGACACAATTTGGATCATATTTACTCATGTAGAAAATGTTAATAGTTCATACTAGTTCATTATCGATTCTGATAAATCATAAGTAAATATGACCTACATTGTGTCGTGTTTGGTATCATTTTAATCAGAACAAGCTCACCAATATGTTCATGAAAGTTTCATTAATAAAGAACCAAAAAGAAAAAAGTTTTATCGTTGCATTAGTATTGTCTCACCGACACCCGAGAATGGGTTGTTCAGAAACAGAAATGTTCAGTCGTCGGCTAGTGAACGGGAAGCCATCTCGGTGCGTCACAGCAACAAAGTATGCGGTTGCCGAGTTCCACGGCCTCTCCCCTCCATCCTACCCCAGTGGTGGGGATGACGTCTGGACAATAATCGCATATCAACAAAGAGTCAATAATCGCGAGAACTCTCTATTGCACATATTAGGCCGTATTGACCTATTTCTTCATTTTTTCTTCGCCGGTAGATTCTATAACGCGAATTTTATCGATTGCAATGAGTTAGTTAGATTATAAATGTGTAACTTACATGACAATCATTATTCTGACGGCATATTTTCAGGTGCCCGTTTCGCAGTTTACCAGAGCAAGGTTGGACTTATCTCGATTCTTCGTAACTACAGAGTCGATGTTTGTGAAAAAACAAGGATTCCGTATGAGTCTGACAGTCAGTCGCCCTTGTTAATACTGAAAGGAGGAGTAGTATTAAAAATAACGAAAGTAGAATAATTTTACATTAGCATATTTCTAGTATTCTACTTACTGTTCTGAAACAATTTGTTAGTAGAATAATTTTTTAATAATATTATCTAAAGAAATAGATGAATGTCATCCTCGTAAGAAACGAATGTGAATACGATTAGTATCAAACTAATTAGTATCCAAAAAGAAGACATATCTTTATATAAGTATAAAAATTATTGCAGACAATACTATTGTATAAAGAATTTCAAAGAAATAAATATGTAGGTCATTTCTGATGTAATTACTGTACAGTGTGTCGTATGTAATTAAAGAGTGTTTAGTAACTGTGTGATTCATAATTACGTTCTAAGCCTCAGAGAAGTAGGGGGAGGTGCTATCACGAAAATTGAAAATTTCTATTTTTCCAATCAGTTATTCTATTGAAAGAAGACATCGATCAACGTCTACATTCTCAAAACATCTACCACTGCGTAAACTTACGTAAGTTAAGATAAGACTTAAATCATAATTAGATATTCATTGTTCAAATCATTATTAATATGAATAATGATAATTATTATTATGAATTTTAATTATATTCTACATTATATTATAATTAATAAGTATTATTGATAGTGATATGGGGTAGGAAGATACAAACAACGCGGTATGAACAACCTAGTTTTATTACTAAAAAAGCGCGAGTCGTGCACGTTATACAGAACGAAATGTAAGGACGAGAATATCCGAAAGAGACCAGGCGACGGCGCCATCACCGTTAGGTCCAACGACTCGGTGCGGATCGCACCATCTAGATGCGACTTCTCCAACAATTATTGTTAATTTTAGTCTATTGATTAATAGACTTAAATTGTAACCATACATTGTGCATACCAAGCTACTATTAATTCATTTTGCTCATTGATTCTCTACACAGACTTAGGGTACAGGCAGTGGTCTGTACACTAAGACTGTTTGTCGATCCCTCCGGTTTCTATTGAGAAGTCAGGTATCGGACGTGTTTAGCCTTTGCCTGGGAAATAAGATTTGGAGAAACATTCGTAGCATGCTTGATAGGGGATGGGGTGGATACCTGCTCCGTAACAGAGAGACTCACTTGCACTATTAGCTTACTCACTATTGTCCGAGGATCGAGTTTGGTACATACAGGCAGTGATGGCAGAATCGTGGAACTTAGTTCCACCACCACGACGTTCCGGCGTCCCCCACTTTATTCCAGCTGGCCGTTCGGGTATTTCCGCCGACTACCTGCGTCACCCGGCAACGTGAAGAATGAGGAAACCTTGGAGACCCTGTTCGAGAATCTCACTGGGCCGAAAATTCACGTTTCCGACGTGATGCCCGGCAACCTAAACGTGTGAGCAACAGTCGGGAGACCCCGTTCTAATCCCACTCTGGCGGTTTTACTTTTTATATTTAATTATTTTATAATTTCACTTTGTAACCTCTCGGTAAAATAAAAACTTGAAATATTAATTTGCGAGACATTTAAAAAGAAGAAAATAAATTGTTTCCTCTTCAATATTAAAATTTTATATTATACATATACATACGTATTCTGTTATACAGGGTGTTCGACAACTAGTGGGAAAAAATTTAAGGGGCGATTCTTTGAGGCAAAATAAGACGAAAATCAAGAATAACGAAATTGCGAAAAATGCTTCGTTTGTTAGTTATAAGCGTTTAAAAATTGACCGAAATCATGGCAATCCGCGCGCACGGA